GAAATGTTTGCTCCTTGTAGAGGCCTTCCTTGAACACCTATTCCAAAGGAATCCCCTACCCTAAAATTTTGTTCATTTATTTGCTCTGTGTGTGTGGTTTGCTTTGGTAAGTCTGCCTCCAGTAGGATGTAAACTGAATGAGACCAGGTATTATATTTGTATCTGGATTTCTAGAATACTGGATTGGTGAACATCTGTTGCTAGATGAATAAATTACACCTGTCCTAGGTGTGTCTAGCATTGCTTAGTCCTAGTGCATGTTTCTAATACTCAACAGTAGTGATTGAAAGCAGGCTTGTTCACTTGGGCATCCAGTTTACCCTGATTCACCACTTACAAAAGAGTTTTGCTTGTAAATTAGGTTAAGTGTTTCAGTATTGAAGATGTGCAGTTACTCTGTTCTCTCCTGCAATGTTTCTAACTCCTTTTTTAAAAAGTTAATAAGTGGTGCACCTTGGTGGCTCAGTCTGTTAAGGGGCCAACTTTGGCTCATGTCGTGATCTCATAGTTCCTGGGTTCAAGCACCGTGTCAGGCTCTGTGCTGACAGTGTGGAGCCTAGAGTGTGCTTCAGATTCTGTTTCTCTTCCTCTCTCTGCCCCTCCCCTCATTTGCTCTCTGTCTCGCTGTCTCTCAAAAATAAACATTAAAAATTTTTTTTAAAGTTAATAAATGACATAATATAGTCTCTGGTTCTACGTAGAATTGTGCAATACCGTGAATTTCCCAGTCTGGCTGTGCATTAGAATCAGCTCAGGAGCTTTAAAAAAAAAAAAATAATAATCTCCATCTCTGACTTCTTAATTTTCAGGAAGATTCTGCAAATTTGTGTTTTTAACAGCCAGCTTAACATGTAGTCAGAACGTTTGGGATTTTAAAGCCCCAGGGTTTTAATAGGCAGTTGAGATCTGGTGAAAATGTCTAAAGGTTTCAGTTTATAGCAACAGTTATTAAAGCTTATACAAAAAGGGTCTGTTTAATTTATACTAACTTTTTCTATAACTTATAAAGTCCTTACTGTGTTGTGTGTTAAGTAGGGGAGCATTATATATAGATGAATCACAGACAGTGCTCTCAAGGAGCCTGTATCCTCTGATAAGGCAATAGAATGAGTATAAATAATCATGGTAGAAAGTAGAAAATAATAGGTACATAAGAGAGAAAACAATTTTAGTTTTTAAAGATTGAGTGGCCATTACACCCTGAGAAGAAGGCAGAAGTAGAGTCTAATTCTTAAAGAGAATATGTACAGAAGAGGAGGGAACCCTGGACATTGCAGTCTTCTGCAGAAGGCTGTGAGGAAATTGGAAGTTAAGAAGGAGCCTATTATAAGCCAGAAGGCAGCAGCCAAATTGGTCAGAGGCCTAGAATGGTCAGGAACTAAAGTCCTTACTGTCAGAGCTGTCAAAGCCAGTGGTACTCAATAGAGCTTTTCAATTTCAGTTTTGAAATTTGCACAGTATTTTATTATTTTCTTAGTCTTAAATTATTTTTTAAATTTTTTTTGAGAGAGAGAGCACGTGAGTGGGGGAAAGGGACAGAGAGGAAGAGAGAATCCCAAGTAGGCTCCATGCTCAACCTCACATGAACTCAAATTGTGAGTTCATGACCTGAGCCAAAATCAAGTCTTGGACCAAGCTTAACCACCTGAGCCACCCAGGTGCCCCATGGTACTTTAAACATTAAAAAAAAATCAAAATTTGTTGTGGGACTTTTAAAAAGTAAACAATTTTGGGGTGCCTGGGTGGCTCAGTCGGTTGAGCATCCGACTGTGGCTCAAGTCATGACCTTGCAATTTGTGGATTCAAGCCCTGCATTAGGCTCTGTGCTGACAGCTCAGAGCCCAGGGCAGGGCTCAAACCCCAGAACCAGGAGATCATGACCTAAGTTAAGCCAAAGTCTGACGCTTAACTGAGTGAGCCACCCAGGAGCCCATGCTTCTGACTCTTGATTTCGGCTCAGGTCATGAACTCACAATTTGAGTTCAGTCTCCCTCATCAGGCTCTGTGCTAACAGTGCAGAATCTACTTGGGATTCTCTTTACCTCTCTCTCTGCCCCTCCCCTGCTTGATCTGTTTCTCTCTCAAATAAAGAAACTTTAAAAAAATTTTTTAAATAAAAATAAATAATTGCATACCTAACTAATCCAGACTTCTAGGTGTTTGTTTGTTTGTTTTTAAGCTCTGGAAAGGGCAACCAGCCCAAACTAAGTCCTTCATGGTGCACATAAAGGGAGCTAAAATCTTTTAGAATTAAATCCTAAAGAGTTAAAATGTGTCTGGTCCATGGTTATGGGGTCAGAATCAATGTAAGAACCTTAGGCTCCTGATTCAGAAGTGCATGTTATCACATTTTTGTGAGATTGAGATCAGTGTCTTTCTTCTGTTGCTTGCTGGTTGTTAGGAGAAATTTCTTGAGGATAGAGACTGTATCATCTCCATTATCATCTCCGTATCTCTTGGATGTAGTAAATAACACACAGAATAGACAGTAACAATAGACATTTGTTACATGAAAGGATGGATGGATGGATTTGGCTTTTGTATTAGTCCTCAAAAAAAAGTCTAGGATTTAGCTTTGTGGAAATTCTGGTCATTAGATGTACATACGAACTGTTAGATTTATTAAGTATTGGACACCAAAAGGGAAACAGTTAGCAAATAATCTAGAAAGAGAGGCTGGGGCCACATTATAGGAGTACTTAAATGTTAAGCTAAAGATTTTGGAATGTATTATCCAATCAACTGAAAAGTTTTGAGCCAAGGAGTGATACACATACATGCATGCACACACATATACATGATAGGAAGAATAGTTAGAAGGAGAGAGAAAAATTATTTTGACAGTTCACTTGAAGTGTTGATTAAAGATGCTGGCTGTGAGAAGGGAAATGTGGTTACAGATGTATATAGAAAATGGCCAGAACTTTATTGCTGATGAAGTGTGGAATTCAAGGGAATAGAATACTCAAAAATGAAGCTGAGGTTCCAGATGTCATCTTTGCCTATATATTTTGGAGGGTGATAATGTCATTAACATATGTAGTGGTTTTAAATGATGCATTTGAGGTACTGATGCCACATGTGGGTGAAAATGTTGAATAGGCTATTGGAAATGTGCTGCTAAACGTCAGAAGAGATGACGGGCCCAGAAATTGTTTAGGAGTCATCTGAGTAGAAAGGGTGGTTGAAGTCTAAGGATTAAATGACATTGCCAGGGCATCTGGGTGGCTCAGTCAGTTGAGCGTCCGACTTGATTTCAGCTGGGGTCCTGAGATTGAGCCCCATGTTGGACTCCCCACTGAGCATGGATCCTAAAATATTCTCTCTCTCTCTCCCTCCCTCTCTCTCTCTCTCTCTCTCTCGCTCCCCCCCAACCTCCCTCCCTCTCTTCCTCCCTCCCTCCCTCCTTCCTTCTGCCCCTCTCTCCCACTCACTCTCTCTTAAATATATATATATATATACATATATATATATGAGATTGCCAGGGAGGGAGGTATAGAGAGACAAAAACCAGGGACACATCCATAGGGAAATTCCATTTAAGAGGGGTAGAAGAGGAGCCAGAGAAGAAACAAAGTGAAACCTGAGAATAGTCCAAGGAGAAGAGGGTAGGGGAAATACTTTTCATAGGGAAACATGAGTAACAAACTTTTTTTATTAAAAAAATTTTTTTTAATGTTTTTATTTATTTTTGATGGAGAGAGAGAGCATGAGTGGGGGAGGAACAGAGAGAAAGGGAGACACAGAATTTGAAGCAGGCTCCAGGCTCTAAGCTGTCAGCACAGAGCCCAGTGCGGGGCTCGAACTCACGGACTGTGAGATCATGACCTGAGCCAAAGTCGGACGCCCAACTGACTGAGCCACCCAGGTGCCCCAACAGACTTTTTTTAATAAAATGTTTTGGGGCACCTGGGTGGCTCAGTTAAGTGTCTGACTCTTGACCTCGGCTCAGGTCATGATCTCTCAGTTCATGGGATCAAGCCCTGCCTCGGACTCTGTGCTGACAATGTGGAGCCTGCTTGGGATTCTCTCTCTCTCCCTTTGTGCCCCTCCCCCACTCATGTGTGCTCTCTCTCAAATTTTTTTTAATTAAAAGAAAATAGTTTACACACAGTTCGTATTATAAGGTAGGTTATATGACAGTAGGTTAAATGACATTTGGGGTGCCTGGGTGACTCATTCAGTTAAGCATCCAACTTCCGCTCAGGTCATGATCTCACGGCTCATAAGTTCAAGCCCCGCAAGCCCCGCTCTGTGCTGACAGCTCAGAGCCTGGAGCCTACTTTGGTTTCTGTGTCTCCCTCTCTCTCTGTCCCTCCCCTGCTTGCACTCTGTCTCTGTCTCTCTCAAAAATAGTAAAAAATCTAAAAAAAAGGGGATGGTATTTTGCAGGAAACTTGTATTATTTTATTATTATGTATTAACAGAATTTTTGTTGAACATTAACAATATTCAACATATTTTTCTAGACCTAGTGGTTGAAGAAATCTTTATAATTTTTTTTTTTAACGTGTATTTTTGAGAGAGTGAGAATGAGCAGGGGAAAGGCAGAGAGAGGAGACACAGAATCTGAAGCAGACTCCAGGCTCAGCTGTCAGCACAGAGCCCCACATGAGACTCGAACCCACGAACCGTGAAATCATGACATGAGCTGAAGTTGGGCGCCTAACCTACTGAACTACCCAGGTGCCCCAAAATCTTTAAGTTTTTAAACTTCAGTTTGAGAGGAGAAATTGATTTTAATCAATAATCATCTTAATTGAAAGCCTTGAGGTTTTAAAGGGTAAGAAACTCCATGTTTTTGTTCTATGGCAGTAATACCTGCTATAACAGACTGGATAAATTCTGAACAGTGAAGTTTTTACCATACTGGAGCATTTACCTTCAGTACTTTTCAGTGTAGTTTCCCCACAACATTCATAAGTATTAGGGGTAAAAATATCTACATATTTACTGATGATTTTTCCCTAAGTAACTTTTTGGTTTTTCCTTCTTTTCAGGATCTGACTGGCATAGAATCTATGGATCAATGTCGCCATACCTTGGAACAGCATAACTGGAACATAGAGGTATAGTATGATTCATTCTGAGCCTATTTTTTCCCCCTAGTTTGACAGTGAACCAAAGACATGTATTTTTCCACAACAGAAATCCTTTCTTTTTATAGAAAAATTTTTTTAATTTACAATTCTTTAATCTTAAAAAGATTTGTGGGGAAGATAAAAATTATGATCAAAGCTTTATTATAAAATTTTATAAAAGATGGTGACCAGATCCTTCTGTGTAGTGTCCCTCCCTCTTATTTTTTTCTCAGTGGCTCTTTGGAAAAAGTTGGTTTTTATATATTTGGTTTGTAACCAGATACCTTAATGTGAACTTTCTTATTACATATTTCGTAGTTTATTTTTTTGGATTTTCTAGGTAATTGTATCATTTGCAATTCAATGATTTTTTTCAGTATATAGATCTTTTGTTACTTGATCACTGAATTGCTAGAACGTCCTAACAATGTCAGTTAATAATGGTAATAGCAAACATCTTGTCCACCCTATAATGCCTCTGATGTTTTATTATTGAGTGTGATGTTAGTTGTTGTTTGGAGACAAATCACTAGAATTTAAGCTCCATGCAAGTAGAAATATTTATATTTGGTTTTGTTAACTGCTGTCTTCCTAAGAGCATCTAAAACTGATCCCAGCACATCATAGACTCTCGATAAATATCTGCTGATTGTCTTCCAACCTTAGTATATTCATATGATCTCTGGTGAGATTACTGTGTTTTAATTATAGTATGTTATTTGAATTGGGTGCTAGATTTCTGAAAATGTATTCCTAAGTTATATTTAGTTATTCAACAAACTTTTAAGCTCTGGAATTATACCAGAGAACAAGACTAATAGCCTACTCCCATGAAATTCTAGATATCATGAAATTCTAGATAATTTCAATTTGTAATAAATGCTGTGAATTAGATGAGTGTACGAAATGTAACAGGATCTGGGAAGTTATTTTAAATAAGGTGGTGAAGGGGCAGCTGGGTAGCTCGGTTGGTTGAGCCCCCGACTTTGGCTCAGGTCATGATCTTATGGTTTGTTAATTCAGGCTCCACATTAGGCTTTCTGCTGTCAGTGCAGAGCCTGCTTTAGATCCTCTGTCCTTTCTCTGCCCTTACCCTGCTTGCTCTCTCTCTCTCAAAAATAAATAAACATTTAAAAAATAAATAGGATGGTAAAGAAAGGCATTTCTGAGGAGGTTGTATTTGAGCTGACACCCAAATAATGAAAAGGGATGATGAATGTGAAAATCTTGGGGGGATTTTCTGCATTTTAGGCAGAGGAAATGATGATCTGTATGATAATTTTGTGCTATCTCCTTGTTAGATTTTTATTTCAAGCATAAGGTGGCTTTATTAGATCACGAGCTTGATAAAATGAATTGAGAAGGGTATATATATATAGCGCAGATTTGAAAGAAAGCACTTGAAACTTTGTTTCTGCCAGTTCTCTATTAACTTTTTCATGTTTTCCCATCATTCACAATTTCTTTGTTACATCTTTTTATTTATTTATTTATTTTTTTAAGTTTCTTTATTTTTGAGAGAGTGAGCGGGGAAGGGGAGAGGGAGAGAATCTTGATGCTGTCAGTGTGAAGCCTGACTTGGGGCTTGATCCCATGAACTGTGAGATCATTACCTGAGCCAAAATCAAGAGTTGAATGTTTAACCAACTGAGCCATCCAGGCACCTCTTAGCTACATTACATGTTTCTTGTTGAGCTTTCCTAGGAGATGCTTTTTTCTTAGATATTTCCAAGGTTTTTAGCATAGGCTATACAAAGTAGCATGTTTTCTACTCTCTTTTGTATCTGTTCTATTATCCTCTCATTGTTTTTATTATATTTTCTTTTTTAAAAATGAGACTTGCTGGAGACTGGTTTATTTTAATGTGTTTGGTTTATAAGAAGCTCTTGTATTTATCAGTTCTTATTTTCTTCTTTCTTATTTTTTTAAGAAAAATCTGTTCACCCTTTTGTAGATTCATATTCTTTTTCTTAGCATTTGATTTTTATAGCTTCGTTAATTTATTTGTATTCTTCCTTGCATTGAAGGCTCTGAATTTTCAGAAGAAAATACATTGTTAAAGTTTTGATTTTCTTCTTTGACCCAAGGGTTATTTAGGAACATATTTGGAGTTTGTAGTAGCTCGTTCTTTTGTTTTTTGTTTACCTTTTCATATCAGTCTTTCATTTTATTTCATGTAGGTATTTATTGAGGTCCTTACAGCTTTTTTTTTTATTTAAAAAAAGTTTTTTTTTTAACGTTTATTTTTTGAGAGACACAGAGAGACAGAGCATGAGCGGGAAAGGGGCAGAGAGAGAGGGCGACACAGAATCCGAAGCAGGCTCCAGGCTCCGAGCTGTCAGCACAGAGTCCAACACAGAGCTCAAACTCAAGAACCGCAAGATCATGACCTGAGCCAAAGTCGGACGCTCAACCGACTGAGCCACCCAGGCGCCCCGAGGTCCTTACAGCTTAATAATGTTCCATTAACATTATGAAATATATTTTTTTAATTAAATGTTTTAAACTTAAAGAAAATACAGAGATAAGGGGAACAACCATGTACCTTCCATCCAGCTCCTGAAAGCCAGACATTTTGCATTACTTGTTTAAAATTTCTTTGAAACAAATATGGATAAACTTAAACCCGGTGTAAGTTGCTTACATGTCATCCCTGTCCAACCCCCTACCTTTCTGTTCCTTCTTTCTGAGAAGTAACCACTGTTGGCAACTAGATGTTTATCAAGGAATGTGGGTTTTTATTGGATAAAGGTTGTGTCTGTATTCAGTCAAGCTTATTACATGTATAATTAAAATTTACTATTTCTTTTCTGTTTACTTAATGAGACTACTGGACATGATGAACTTGAATGTGGTTTCATAGATTTCTTTATTTCTTACTGATGATTTTTTTTTTCTAATTATAAAAATAATACATGTCTTCCCAGAATTTGAAACACAAGAGTTGATAAAATTGAAAATGAAAGTTCTTGGTAATCACACTTAAGATAACCACGTTTGATGTTTTAATGTATGTCCTTCTGGACCTTCTTATATGTGCTGGAAATATATGTATATGCTTTTCCAGTGTTAAAAACAAATATATCAAAGAAATGCTTATTTTTTGTACATGCTGTGAAAGGGCAGTCCATGGTGCAGATAAAAAGCATTAATACATTTTATGTCTATTTTCGGGGAAATACTTCCTTACTCTTGTATAGTTTGATTACTTTATTTGACACAGAAAGACAAGTGGCTGTTAGAGCTTTTTTATAATATCTTTTAATATCAGATGATATTTTTTGTTTTAAATTCTACTTTGATGTATTAATACTGTTGCCCCTGCTTTTCTTTATTTTTTTTTAATATTTATTTATTTTGGGGAATAGGGGAAGCAGAGAGAGAGGGAGACAGAGGATCTTAAGCAGTCTGCACTGACAGTGAAGAGCCTGACCTGGGGCTTGAACCCACGAACCATGAGATTATGACCTGAGCCAAAATCAAGAGTTGGATGCTCAACCATCTGAGCCACCCAGCCACCCCACTGCTTTTCTTTATTGATTTTCAGTTACCTGGTATAATGTCAACCATCTTTTAATAGGAAACAACTTATCAAAATATTAGAAGCTTTTTGCAAAAATAACTGCACATGTGCATACCCACACAAAGAATTCCAAAAAACGTAAAGAATTAAAGCTGTAAAAAAAAAAAATCAATAAAAAAGGAAGTAAGTGTTCTCCCTTAATTCCACCACTTCTTAGATAGCTGGTGTTAAGTTTTAGTGTATAGCCTTTCAGACTTTCTAAGTTTTTTTTAATGTTTTTATTTTTTTATTTTTATTATTATTATTTTTTTTCCAACGTTTTTATTTATTTTTGGGACAGAGAGAGACAGAGCATGAACGGGGGAGGGGCAGAGAGAGAGGGAGACACAGAATCGGAAACAGGCTCCAGGCTCTGAGCCATCAGCCCAGAGCCTGACGCGGGGCTCGAACTCACAGACCACGAGATCGTGACCTGGCTGAAGTCGGACGCTTAACCGACTGCGCCACCCAGGCGCCCCTTTTTTAATGTTTTTATATACTGGAGAGAGAGCGCGCATGCACACATGTGCACGCAAGTTGGGGAAGGGCAGAGAAAGATAGGGAGAGACAGGATCTGAAGCAGGCTCCAGGCTCTGAGCTGTCAGCACAGATTCTGATGTGGGGCTCGAACCAACAAACCGTGAGATCATGACCTAAGCCAAAGTCATACACTTAACTGACTGAACCACCAAATGCCCCACCTTTCAGACTTTTTATATGCATTTAGATGACTACATAAATTGAAGTATAATTTTCTTGTTACACAGGTGGGATTATGCCACCTTTACAGCTTTTTTCACTTAAATCTGTTTCGGTAACTCATAAAAATAATACATGAACTATATTAAAATCTGGTTTTAAAAAGTTTAAAGCCTAAGATGAAATATGAAAAAAAAAAATCCCATTCGGATCACTTTCCTACTGCAATCTTTTAGTCCTAAATCTCCAACATAGTGATATTAACAATTTTTTATTTGTTTCCACATACTTTTATGCCTAAAACTCTATATTTTCCCCGAAATAAACCAGAGGTTCTCAGACTTTGTGGTGTCACTCTTTATACTTAAGAATTATTGGGAACCTGGGGGTGCCTGGGTGGCTCAGTTAGTTAGACATCCAACTTCGGCTCAGGTCAGGATCTCATGGTTCATGGGTTCGAGCCCTGCATTGGGCTCTGTGCTGACAGCTCAGAGGCTGGAGCCTTCTTTAGATTCTGTGTCTTCCTCTATCTCTGCCCCTCCCCCGCTCATGGTCTCTCTGACTTTCAAAAATAAATAAACATGAAAAAAAAAAGAATTATTAGGAATCAGGACACCTAGGTGGCTCAGTCAGTCAAGTGTCTGACTTGGGCTCAGGTCATGATCTCATAGTTAGTGAGTTTGAGCCCCACATCAGGCTCTCTGCTGTCAGCACAGAGCCCGTCTCC